TCTTTGATTTCTGATGGTATTGTCTTAATTAGTACTATTAATTCTGGTGAAAATAAGACTTATAAATTTCTTTGCATACATTAAAAAAGATAAAGCCATTTGAAAACTACAAAATATTAAATCTTGATAAACTCCACTGTAAGTCAAAATAAGTTCACAACTTGTATGTCAGACTGTGTGCATGTAAACATCATAATGATTCATCATTATATGCCATAATTTTATAGGGCCATTCTTATACCTAGTTGTAACTAAGTTATATATGACATCAAATTTGTAAAATAGTAAATGTAGTCCAAATATTTTGCCACAGTAGTTCATACCAGCTTGTTTTCTTTTTCCATAAATTGAATAATTGTGTTTGAGTTCTGTAGAGCACTCAGTTCACAAAAGGTGGAACACTGAAACAACATTTAATGTGTTCCTAAATATACACCTAGTTTCTGTCTTAATATGACTAAATCTCCTCTTTAAGACTAGCAATAAATTTAAGATGAAAACACAAAAACTGGTTTTTTAATAATGGGTGACTGTTGATAAAGATTTTATAGCAAAGTAAATCAAGGGAGATACACACACACACACACATATATATATATTCACATATATATATGACTAATAAATAATGAGATATAAAAGAGATAAAAACAGTCCATATATAATCTAATCTTCTGGGTTGGCTTACTATTTTTTTCAGTAAGGAATACTCATTTTAGTCTTTTGATATTTTTTTCCATCTGCTTTATTGTTGAGTGGGTGGTTGCTAAAAAGTAGCAGAAAGCTTAAGATTTTAATTCAAAACAAAACTACATTCAAACAAATGGTATAGTTTCTAGTTTATATGACTAGGATACTACAGTTAAAATAATCAGATTATTTCTAGGTATCAATTGGGACATTTACAAATTATTTGCCAATGACAGAGTCAGAGCTTTAGTTGGATTCTTTGTCATTATCACCTGAAGAAAGTAAGCCGTACTTTAAAAATGAAGTCATGTTTCTTTTCTTTCAACCTTCTTAATTTCCCCCTACTTTATGCTATTATTTGGGATGTTGCCTTAAGGCTACATCACTGCTAAAGAACACTGGGAGAGACTTGGCTAGAAGACTGTCAGTCCTGTTCCTAATTGGCTATAGAAATCACTAAATCAGGCCCTCCTCACCTGAGGGTTTAATACATTCCTTTTGCGGAATATGTAGTCCCCTGTGCTCAGAAAGTTGGATAGCAGGCTTGGTAATCAGTATTAAGTATTTTCATTATAAACAAAAGTACCTTAAGGTCTCTTAAAATTTGAAACAGAGAACGATGTATATTTTGCAATATACGTATGCAAAAATGCTCATAGATCAAAATTTAAAAGCATGTTTCTGATTAAAATGCCTCCATTCAAAAACATGTGTAATTTGAAAACATAAACATTGATGGATAATATATTGTGTGGTGCTGATAATCTATCTAACAAAGACGTCAAAGCAGTCATAAATATGTTCAAAGAACTAAATGAAGCCATAATTAAAGAAGAAAAGGGAGGTATAATGTATCATCAAAGAAATAATATAAAGAGAGAAATTATTGTAAAAGTAACAATTCTGGAGTTGAAAAGTACATTAAGTGAAATCAAAAATTTATAGAGAGGCTTAAAAGTAGATTTGAGGGCGACAACAGCAGCATCTGCCGCAACAGCAGCGGCGGCGGCAATGGCGGCAGCAGCAGCAACAGCAAAGCAGTGGCCGCAGAAACAACAACAACGGCAGCAAACCGCAATAGCGGCGGCAACAACACAATCTGCGGCATCAGCAATGACAGCAGCAACATCTGCCGCAACAGCGATGGCGGCGGCGGCAATAGAAACAGCAGCGGCAATGGCAGCGGCCTAGCTGAGGCTCATGGGGGAGCCCCCGACGGCCCCGGCCTCTAACTCCTGCGGCTTCACCGAGTTGTAGTGCTCTCCGAGGTCGCAGGCGTAGTGCATGTAGACGAGGGTGATCGGCTTCTGGGTGTACTCCTCCCCGATGATTAAGATGGGCGCATCGGCCTGGATCGCCTCGATGGGGGTCTGCAGGACATGCGACAGGGCCCTCAGCTCCACCTGGCCTCCCCACAACGTGCTGTACTCGACACTGTCGCAGTACTGCAAGAAATCATCGTAGGTGTAGGGAACGCCGGTTTCAGATTCGGTGAAGAAGGGCAAGAACTCGTCGACGTGACTCCGCATGTAGTTGGCAGCGCAGGCCTGCAGGCTCTCCACGGTGTCGCCGACTGTCAGCTGGTCTTGGATGGTGCAATACATGCAGTGGCCATCGGCCGGGATTTCCTTCACCTCCAGATTCCTGGACTCCAGGATGACGGCCAGCCTCTTCTCCTCGTCACGTTGATACTGGGTCAGTTTCTCGACCTGGGCCTCAGTAAGCTTATCCAGGCGCGCTCTTTCGAGCACCACCCTCATTTCCGGCCTTTTCTTGGCCCTCAGGAAGCGCGGATGCTGGTTCTCCAGATCCATGTTTCCCAGATCTTTAGTGACGGAACCGAGGTTGCTGTTCTCAGTCAACATACTTCGCAAATCGTCCAGCTCCTGCTTCTGCTTCTGCTTCAATTCGGTCTCAAGGCGGGCCATGTCAAGAAGCAACTGCTTTCTTTTCTTCCTGTTGCCCTCAGGGAACTCGCTCTTCATGGCCATGATGCAGGCCTGCAGCTCCTTCTTTTCGCGTTGGTGGCGTCGTAATATCTGCTGATATTCATTCTGCGCCTCTTCCATGGTGTTTAACAGCAGGCGACAACCAAAGTACAGTGGCAGTGAAAGGACCAGCTACAGTTCACACTACCTCAGACCCCCAACTAGGCCGCAGGTCTTCAACCTCCTCTAGCCGCTGCTGCTCCGCACACTCAGCCGCTGGGTGTCCCCGTTTTATTCATCGCCCTCTCAGCCATTGGCTACTGTCTCTCCATGACCACGCCCCCAACACATCTCACACTAGGATTGGCTGTTGGGAGACCCTATAGCAATGGGGTGCTTCAGCGGGTTCAAAGTTCGAAGAGTAAAATTCCGCCTTTGCACGGTACGTACAGCGATTCCGCCTCTGCACGGTACGTGCAGCTATTGGACTTGTAGGATTTTTCATAGACTCACTCCCTACTTCATTTCCAATCCTGAACACAATTCAGACACTGGTCATGCTTGAGAATTGCATGATAAATATTATACGACCATCTGAATGTGCTCTGACACTGGACCTCCCATTACTACTAATGTTCAGGAGGCAATGTGGCTGTTTCCAGCTTTTGAGGTCCTTTGACTGGTGAACCCTTAATTTTGTATATCAGAACAAGGACATTTCCTTGCGTTCCTGGGGACATGGGTCCTTTCGGTTTAGGTCCCGAATCTACCAGGTAACAGCCCCTCTCCCTAGAACCATTCACCACAACTGCACAGACCTCTTGGTCTGTGCAAACAGAATGCACCTTCCCTAAACTCCTCTTCTGGGTTCCCTGCTTCCAAAATGGGCTCACTAGGTTGCTCAGGAAGCACAACAGCTGGCATTCATCAACTCACTTCTTTTTGATTATTCTAAATCTCTAAAATTTCTAAAAAATTCAGTTCAATTATAAGAAGCCCTAAGCTCTTTCAAATATGCTGTCATCGAATCCCACCCTGTTCAACTGTATATTGAATTCCCAAATGGGAAGGCCGTTGAGACAACCTCCCCCTTGTTACAAATGAGGAAAGTGGACATTTGTTCAAGTTGTTGCATATATCAACATTTCATCCCTTTTTATTGTTAAGTAATATTCTAGGATGTGGATGTACTGTAGTTTATTTAACTCTTCACCCATTAAAGGACATCTGGATTGTTTACAGTTTGGGGTTATTCTTTATAAATAATATACAGGTTTTTGTGTGAACACATCTTCATTTCTTTGCGGCAAATACTCAGGAGTGCAAATACTGGGTCATATTATAAGTGTATGTTTAGTTATTTAAGAAACTGTTTTCCAGAGTAGCTGTGCCATTGTACATTCCCATCATCAGTGTGGGAGGGACCCAGTTTCTCTGCATCCTCACCAGCATTTGGTATTTGTTATGGTCATAATTTTTATTTATTTATTTATATATATATATATATATATATATATATATATATATATGTGGAGGCTGTTCTGATACATGTATAGTGACATCTCACTGTGGTTTTCATTTATATTTCCCTATTGGCTAAACATGTTCATATTTCATGTTCTTATCATCTGTGCCATATCCTCTTGGGTAAAATGTTTATGTCGTTTGCTTCTCTTATAATTGGACTGTTTTTTACTGTTGTTTTGAGAGCTTTTTAAAATATATGTTCTAGATACTGGTTCTTTGGGGGATATGTGGTTGGTAAATATTTTCTCCCATACTGTAACTTGCCTTTTCATTTCTTTACCTGGTGTTTCTCAGAGAAAAAGTTTTAAATTTTGATGAAATCCAGTTTATCCATTTTTCCTTCTGTGGGTTGTTTTTGGTGTCAAAACTCTTTGTCTAACCCTAGATCTCAAAGATTTTTGTCCTACTTTTTTACTAAAAAGTATATAGCTTTAGGCTTTCAGTTTAAATCTGATATCTAGTTTGTGTTTATTTTTGTGTAAGATGCAAGGTTTAGATCGAGGATTAGTCTTTAGCCTATGGTTGTCCGATTGCTTCAGTATCATTTGTTGGAAAGGCGATGCTTCCACTATTGAATTGGTTTTGCACTTTTGTCAAAAATCAGTTGGGTATATTGTGTGGGCCTGTTTTGGGGGTCTCTATTCTGTTCCATGGGTTTATATGTCTAGCCCTCCACCAGTGCCATACAGTCTTGACTATTGTAGCTATGTAATAAATCTTGAAATTAGGTAGACCTTTTCCTTCAGTATTATTCTTTTTTAAATTGTTGCAGCTATTCTAATGCCCTTACATTTCCATATAAATTTTAGAGTAATCTTGTCCATATCTACAAAAAAATCTTGCTGGGGTTTTCATAGGAATTGGGTTAAAGCCATATATCAATTCAGGGAGGTTGGCCTCTTTACTTTTGAGCAGTGGTGAAAGTCGTGACTCGCTGCTAGGTCCCCTTTGACATCACCTCAGGGAGAGAGAAGGTGTACCTCATTACTGCCAGGTGGGGGTGGAATTCTAAGCTCCCAACATTGTCTCTGCTGGTATAGTATGTGGGTGGGTTTTGTTACCTGCCAGTGGGGATGAAAGTCTCTTCTCTGTACTTGGCTTTCTCTGACACCACACCATCAGGGAGGATTTGGGGTGTTGCTACAACCTCACAAGGGCGGAAGCCTAAGACCCCCTGCCCTTTAGCCTTTGCTAGTGTAGGTGGGGACAGGGTCCATAGTTTGTTCTCTGGTTTTGGCTGGAATTGGAGCAGGCTTTGGTCAGGGCTCTTTTACTCTGTGCTTGTTGGCATGTCTGGGTTGTTCTTTTTCAGTTCCAAGTCTGATATATATGAGGCAACAAGAAAATGTATATTATTCCTCCCATCCTGAGGACCTAGGTGGTCTGCCTTCTTCTCTCTTTCAGAATCATCTTAGCTTTGTTTTATACATCATGTCCCGGGTTTTTAGTTGTAATAGCAAGACGAATAGGGCAAAGTATATCTATTCCACCTTCCCTCATCTTATTTTAAATAAACAGATATACTTCATACCCTCCCTTACTGTCAATTGTATCTTTCAAAGAAATTAAATATCGTTGCTTAAAAACAAACCAATGCAATAATTTTAGAAAATCATTATGCTGAGCCTGAGAGAGACGTCTTTTGGACTTTGATAGCATGATAGTTATGGTTACATAGAGTGTGCTTGTTTGCTGCAATCCAGATTGCTTTTCCAGAGTCAGCAGAAAGGATGACAGGTCCCTTTGAATGTCAAGCCCCACCGTGTACATTTTTTTCTTGTAGCCTGAGGTGCAGAAAAACCAGCTTTGCAAATGTTGAGCTTTACTGTCTGTAGTTTGTGTTGAGGAAACCATAGTTATTACAGTATAGAATGTGCTTTTTCCAGCTCTGCACTGAAGTCTACCACCCTCTCTACCTCCACCACACTCCACCCTCACCCCCTTTCCCCAACACACACTGTCCCATCTGGAGATTGTGATCTAACCTCCAGGTCATGGGCCCTGCCTGCACTGTCCAGCTGGATGGATCCAGCAATGAATGGGCTGCCTGCTTTTCAGGAAGCTCCCTGAGAGAATCACTTCTCATAGCTCAGCTTTTGATAAGAATTGGATGGCCGGGAGTTCAATGTTACTTTTTCCAATATGATGCAGCGGGAATGGCGATAGGCTGTCTTGCTGATTTAACAGCATGTACTTTGCCAGTCAATGAGGAGGGAGGGGCAAGAGAATGAATGCTTATCTTGTGATGATCGAATGTTGGTCAAGCCCCCAGCTCAGTGTCTGGCACCAAGGAAGACAGTAAAAAAATGGCAGGTGCTTCTTCTACCATACTCGAGTCTCCCATCTCCCAGCTCCTGCTCCCATACCATCCTCCCACATATCCCCTTTCTACTTCACCACCCTCCTGCCTCCTCCCCTTTAGAGGCCACCAGAAACAGCAGTTTCCATGGTAATCAGCATCCTCATTAGTTTAGAGTTTAATGGTCCCTAAGTGTCTGTCTGGACTGGGCTCCTAGCTCACATCAGAGGGAGCTTTCCAGTGAGCTCAAGGGCTGTTGAGAAATTGTCAAACACAAGCAATTATATTCAAGTCATCCTAATTAGACTCAATAGCAAACAATGATATTTTGGTGTAATGAGAGAGGATGTGAGGAAATCATCTCATCCTGTCCAGGACTCATAGCGCCTGGGCATCTGTAGAATCACTCTTCTCCTAGCATTCGCTAGTGGGGGATTACATCAGTGGGCTGTAGGTGTTGGAATGTGAATAAGGGCGTATGGGAGATGGGGCAACAGGGAGCCAACCTCACCGAAGGTTTCTGAGTACATGACTGGGGACTTGCTCTTTCCTCATCCTCCCACCTGTCCCTTAAGGCTCCAAGGTCACAAGAGTTTCCTACTCTGTTCATACTTCCTTTCTGTACTGACCCCAACCTTGTTCCTGCCTTGCATTTAGTCCTGACCTGCTTTTCTCATTCATTCATTCATTCAGCCCCCATTTGTCAGTCCTGCTACATGCCAGGCACTCTTCTAAGCTCTGGGGATATAGCAGTGAATAAAATAAAATAAAGCAAAGGTCCCTAACTTCTAGGAGCTTACAGCCAAGTGGGGGAAGACAAAAAAAACACAAAAAACATGTAACTGCAGAATGACATGCAAAATTAAAGCTGAGCTTTAGAGCAGATGTTTACTGTCACTCATGACTATGGTCCAAGCCCTGCTTTTCCGTTTGTTCCTCCTCATCGGTGGTCTCTATACTCAGAGTAGCTTCTCCTGTCTCCTTCCACATCTGCCGAGGAACCACATGAGTACACATGAGGAAGTGGTAGACTCATTGCTCTTTCCAGTGGCATGAGGTTAGAGGTGGAAGTGAGTCTTTTGGGAGAAATGGCCAGGTGAGGTCCCCAAATCCTGGGGGCCCCTTGGAAACAGGAAAGGCACCCATTGCTCAGTAGGGCAGAGGAGAGCAGCCATTTTGAGTCCTTTGAGGTATTTGGGGCTCACTCTGGCACCTTCCAGCTGAGTCAGTCTCGGCCTCTCCTTCCTCCATCACTAACCTCCTGTTTTGGTTTCTTGGTTAGGCCTCCACCACCTGATCATTCGGTTTGGCAGAT